GGGGGTCCTTTCTTCCCTAAAAAGGAAAAAATACTCCGGCGGGCGCCCTCCCCTGAGGGGAAAGGGTCACCCATCTCTACCAGTTTTTGCGGAAAAAAAACCCAAGGGCACCGGCGCCTCTTCCTGCCTCTTCCTAGGGCTTCTTCTTCCGGCGTCTTCTTCCGGCTTTTTTTCCCACTTTTCTTTCCGCTTCTTCCTCCGGCTTTTGGCCCTTCCCACCCTCCCTTCGGGTTGTCTAAGAGAGGGAAGTCCTTCCCAGGGCCCCCCTTTAGGGGGGGGGCACCCCCCCCCCCCCCCCCTCCCATACTCCGCCCCCTGGATCACCTCCCCCGACGGCCGCCTCGCCCCCTCCCCCTCAAGCCCCTCCTCCTCCATCCCCCTCCCCTCCCCCCTCCCCCCCCCCCCTCCTCGTCCGACCCCCCCCCCCCACCTCCACCCCTAGGTGGTGACCAACTGCATCAACGCACTCAACGAGATCCTGGCGGCCGAGGGCGGCATGGCAATCAACAAGCCAATCATCCACCACCTCCTCAACCGCATCAAGGACTTCGCCCCCGCCCCGCCCCACTCATTCCTCCGCCGGAGCCCCGCCCCACCGGGCCAGCGAGCCGACCCAATAGGAGTTCAGCGAGTGGTCCCAGTGCGTCGTCCTCGAGCTCGTAATTAATTATTAATTAATTGATAGGAGTTCAACGAGTGGTCCCAGCGTCGTCCTCGAGCTAATAATATAATAATAATAATAATAATAATAGGAGTTCAACGAGTGGTCCCAGTGCGTCGTCCTCGAGCTCGTAATTAATTATTAATTAATTGATAGGAGTTCAACGAGTGGTCCCAGCGTCGTCCTCGAGCTAATAATAATAATATAATAATAATAATAATAATAATAGGAGTTCAACGAGTGGTCCCAGTGCGTCGTCCTCGAGCTCGTCGCGCGCTACAAGCCCGAGTCGCCGCAGGAGACCGTCGACACCACCAGCAGGCTCGAGGGGCGGCGGAATTCGTTGGTCACTCTTGAGG